TGATTCTGAATTTGAATCACTTGTCATCCCAAGCAATATATGCTTTCTTCTTGAATTGCTTTTTGCCCTTATGTTCATCATTTTTCTTGTTTGGGCATTCGGTCTTCATATGCCCCGCTTCACCACAACCAAAGCATTTTATATTAACGGAAGAATTTTCTTTTACCTTTCCCTTACCTTTGAAAGGATGTCTTCCTTTTGCTTTCATCATCTTGGTGAACTTCTTTATAAAAAGACTCATCTCTTCTTCATCATTTTCGAGTCTTCTTCTTCTTCTTTCTTATTATTGCTTTTTGAAATCTCGGTTTTGAAAGCAAGGTTCTTCTTTTGATATTGACCCTCTTCCTCATTTAGTCTTCCAAGGTCAAGTTCATGCTCCCTAAGCTTTCCAAACAACGCCGCCATAGACATAGTGGCAAGATTTTGTGACTCCGAGATGGCCGTCACCTTTGGTTGCCATTTCCTATCCGGAGATTTCAAAATTTTAACATTTAATTCATCAACGTCAAAAATTTTACCTAGTCCGGTGAGATGGTTCACGATATGAGTGAAACGTTTTTGTACGTCAAATATCGTTTCGCCTGGTTGCATCCGGAACATTTCGTACTCTTGAATTAGAGAATTTTTACGTGCTCTTTTGACGTCGTCGGTTCCTTCGTGGGTTACTCTAAGCATTTTCCACATTTCCTGTGCACTTTTACAAACTGAAATTCTATAAAACTCATCAAGGGTTAGAGCGAGATGAAATAATGTTTCTAGCCCTAACATCAAATTGTGCTTTTCGACTTTCGTCAGCGGTCCATCTAGAAATAGGTTTAAGAACGTCAACACCGTTCTCGGTAATTTTAGGAATAAATGGACCATTTAAAATTGCGTCCCAAACGCCTCTATCAACGAGACTCTAAAAATATTTGCATACGTACTTTCCAAAAAGGATAATTTTGACCCGCAAAAGTGGGGTCTGTTGATAGACGCACCTTCGGCAAAAGTTTGATTTTGTCCGGCCATTTTCGAAAAGTTTGAATGACTATCAAAGCAAGCTCGATACCACTTGTTAGAATCGCGCGGCTGAATGTTCGCGTGGTCGGACAAAAACCAAGAGGGGGGTGAATTGGTTACTTAATAAAAATTAGGTTTTCAAAATTTTCCCCAAATTTTACCGATTAAAAGCTGCGTAAATGTAAATAGAGAAGAGTAGAAGATTACACAATAGGTTTATACTTGGTTCGGATCAAAAGACCCTACGTCCAGTTGCTAATCACTCAAAAGAGGATTAACGCTCGTCACTAAGAACAAAGTTGTTACAACACAAATTATAATGAAAAAGATAAAGTTAAAGATAAAACCTCTCTTGAAATCCACAAGAGATGATAAACGACTTTCCCTGGAGACGGCACGAGCACACAATCCACTAAGAACTCCACTTAGTGATTCTTATCGCTTCTAGCCTCACACCAAGTTTCCAAAAGCCCCGAAGAACAGACTTTCCCGGAGACGGCACGACACTCAATCCACTAAGAACTCCACTTAGTGATTCTTATCGCTTCTAGCCTCACACCGAGTTTCCAAAAGCCCCTAAGAACGGCTTTCCCGGAGACGGCACAACACTCAATCCACTAAGAACTCCACTTAGTGATTCTTATCGCTTCTAGCCTCACACCGAGTTTCCAAAAGCCCCCTTTCCTTGCAACAAACGAGTTCTCCGGCACTCACGAGCACTTAACTTTTGTATGGAAAGAGTTGTTCTTCAGTTGTTCATTGTTTCGAGTGCTAAAGCGAGTTTAAGTAGGGAAATTAGGGTTTAGGAATTGAGGATTTCGAAACTAGGGTTCTTGGTAATTGGGTTTTCGAAAATAGGGTTAATTTGAAATTTAATTTGAAAAACAGATTGAAATAATCGATTATTTGGAGTAATAATCGATTAAAACGAAGCCAAATACTTCGAACCCAACCCTCTCGGAATAATCGATTATTTGGTGAAATAATCGATTATCTATACGGACAGTACAAAACAATCGATTCTTTTGTTGTTTTAATCGATTAAAACAGTGAGTTTGTATAGAAAGTGTTTTCTCATCTGTTTTAATCGATTATTTACCTATATAATCGATTAAACCCGAGCACTGAATGATAAATTTGAGCTTTTTGAAGCTTCTAAGTTACGGACTATGTATCGGCTATCTTAGACTCTAAAAATACAGACTCAATCTTAAATAAATCAGAGTTATTACAATACAATTATCACCAATCTTCAATCTTCAATATTCTAAGTCTTTAGTTCTTGGATCATCATCAAAATCCATTCTTCATATTCATCAAGTGCAACATCAAGTCCTTGAATTGTCAACACTCTGAAACTTGAAGATGTGAAAAATGCGTGAGTTCTTTTCTACTTCCTCTTCAATGTGTTTTCTGAGTTCTGTTCCACTTTCTCTTCAATGTGATTCTAAACATCCTTATGAAAACAGGTACCGGATATGTGCTTTAAAGTGGCATCCAGATCGTCATCAGGGCTCTTCTAAGGTGTTGCCAGGCTTTAACTGCTGATTAGTTCTCTCTTTTGTGTTCTTTTCCTATTGAAGAATTTTCTGTCTTACATGTTGAGCTTACTTATTATTTTAATTATTATGCATGTTGATAGGCTATAGCAGAGGAGAAGTTCAAGCTTTGCGGTGCTGCTTATCAATCTTTGTGTGATAATCTGGCCTTGTATTAGGGAGTAAGTACTTGTTTACTCTCGTTTTATTCAAAGGGAGAAGTCAAACTCTAGTATCAAAAAGTTTTCGATAATTCACACACATTGTTCAACCAAGTTACTTGTTTAGGTACTTGTTTACTGATACCCTTGCTACAAGCCTGTAGCTCTTAGAAATTAAAGTCCATACTAATTTATTGTACACAAAGCCCATTTCCTTATATTTTTGGCATGTAGTAATTTTATTATATCCTTGTACGTAATTGATTGTATGGTGCTTCATATCACCAATTTACCACTAGATACTTCCGTTCCTTCACATTAATTTATGTATGTGCTTACTGAAGGAGTGAAGTGAGATATTTTTCTCCAACATATCTATGCACACATTATTTAATCTGATTATTTTCAATTATTCATTCATGTATGTCTTCTGATTTTCTTTCAAAAAGTTGTCAACAATTTATCTCTGGTTTCTTTCTGGAGTTGCAAACTTTCCTTTCTAAGCAAATGTTTCTTTAAAAAATGTCAACAATTTAGCTATGCTCTCTTTCTGTATTTGCAGAAATTATGAAAACTAAACCGAATCAATTAACATTTTTGTGTTGGTTTTCAGTTTTTCAGAAAGTCAATTAAAAATGAGTTGTAGTTTCTTTACATATGAATCATGCCATAGTTGGTCATAATCATTCTAGTTGAGTTGCCAGCATTGTCCTTTTCTCTCACCTCAAAACAAAGCAGGTTATTTATTATTGAGAGAAGCCCGTCATCTAAGAAGAAAAAGAGGTTCGGACAGAGAAAATTGTGACTTGTGGCTTAAAACAGGCCAACAAATTGGTTGAATCGTTTGAAATTATCGATTTCCCTTTCATTTTCATGCAATAGATAAGAATTCATATAAGACTAGAAAGTGTCATTTGTGTGAAAATAATCTTATCCAAGCGGGAAATATTCAGAAAGATGTTCAACACTTGAATCAATGTTAAACATAAAAGATATTCTCTCACATTTATTTTTAATTTTGATTATATCATACTCGAATTTAAATGAATAATTTATTCAACAATTCGGAAAGATAGTCACAAAAAGTAAATTTGTCTCAATCTATCTTTTATTTACCTTTGTCAAACTAGTATGATCGTTGGGGTTAGTACGATTATTTACAATGTTATATATTTTGAAATATGTTATATTTTTCATCTATGTATTAGGTCAAAAGATTATTTTTGGTCAGATTATAAATTAAAATAAGAATTATAACATATTTATATAAAAATAATTTATCAAATTATTTAAAAGAATAAAAATTATTTTAATTTTAAATATAATAATTTGATATATAAATTATAATGATAAGTTATTTAATTTTAAAAAATCACATATTTTTATTAAAATAATAATAAAAATAAAAAGTAAATTTTTGCTTAAAAAATAAATTTTTCATTAATTATAATATATATCAATAAAATACAATTATTTATTTTTATTTATTTTAAGAAAATATTATTTTATAAAATAAGCTGATCCGTAAATTTACGAAACGAGCTTAATTTTAAGTTGATTTTAAATTATGAATTGAATGAGTTAAATTAAAATTAATCCGTCACAATATTTCGACTTAGCTTCTTTTTTTTATAGGTTTTTTTGACATGCTATTAGATTAAAAATATTGTATTCTACAGATAAATTTATATTTTCAAAATTTATAATGATTAATTTATTAAAATATATAGATTATAATTTAAAATAAATCAATATACTGAAATATATAAATTATATTTCGAAATTATACTAAATAATTTAAATAATTGTATATTTTTGTAAATTATTGATTATTTATAAATAAGAAAATATTGAAATTCAGTTAAAGGCTAAAAGAGAATAAAGTAAGAAAGATTGAATATTGAAAAGTTCGAATATGCATATAAAAAACGAAAAGAAGAATAATTTGAAAAAAAAAAAGTTGAAAGTTGATAGTTTTACACCGTTCGAAAGGGTATATTTTAATTTATAATCTAAAAATGAAAAAAAAAAAGACTTAGAAACCAAATATTGGATGATTCTAATTTTATAAAATTCGAAATTACATATTGATGAGAATAAAAGAGAATTTAATTAGGAAAATTTGACCAGCTTTACTTTTTTTTTTTTTTTTAAAACAAATACGAATAAATTGAGGATACTTGTCGCAATAGCCATGTCGAATTTCAGAATAAAAAATCTTCACCGTCCAAATTATTTTTTCACAAAAAATCATAAAACAAAATGCAAGCTTGTGAAGCTTAACGGTGGAAGATGCAACTCCATGACCATACATTATGTCACAACCGTAGAGGATAGCTTGTCACCTCTGCAATCACATATTAAAGTGCTTCAGCTCTTGGCAACTTGCTTCTTCTTCTTCTTCCACTTCCTCTGCTTTTGTTTTTCGACTTTCGAAACCTCGTACAAATCCAGGGCTCTTCGCTTCTGTTTCAATCTCCTTATGGATTCTTCTTCTGATCACCCTCCCTCGTCATCTCTTCGTTCTACTGTGAGTTACTTCAACTATTGCATTTTTTTGTCAATAAACTTTTAAATGATTATAACAATGAATATGGATCTTCGTTGTTTTAGTCATAACAAATCTCTCCAAAATCAATCCTAATGTCTATGTTCTTTAATGTAATTTACGGCATGGATAACGTATATCTCTGATCACTTCTATTATTCTTTATTTATAGGTAAGCTAATTTTAGTTTATAAGAAAATATTCCATTTTTTTTTATTCTCTTATAGGAATTTGTGCAGAAATTTATCGCTGGTTACTAGTTTTCATATAAACTATTTGATCCTAATTTAACTCCAATAGCCACCTAATGGGGGAAGGTTTTGCTTACATACATAGTTCTGTGAGATTTCTGACAAATTTCACATTACGTTTTTAAATTGGAATAATTAAGTTTGATGAGTGGGTTGTATTAAGGATTTAAGATCCTTTTGGATTTGGTTGGTGACTAGTTGGTGGTGGTAGATAGATGAGACTCTACTCTTTTAAATAATGTATAGTTGCTTTATGGATTGGCTTTTGATTAATGAGAAGGCCCTTTTTCTGAGCAGATGTAAAATCAATCAGAAAGATATCTTACCACTCTGTTAAAATCTTAAAGTTACAGATCCCTATACTGTCTACAAATTTCATCAACTTCCTATCCTATGAGAGTTGCTAATGGTACCCACAAGAAGCTAAGGGTTTTTGGGACAATTGTTTTTTTAGGACAAAGCTGAATGAGTTTAAACACACTAATAGGGAGAGAGGAAAAGAGAGTTTTTCAATAATAGTACCAAAATCCTTAAATTTCCGATGGTACCATATAATTGGTCTTATTGTCAAGTTCCATTGCAATATAGGAAGATGTTCAAAAGGTTAAGTTCTGTCAGTGGTGTGGTGGTTCAACAAAGCATGGAATACCTGAAGGAGAAGAAAGGTTGAGAGCTATATGTACCAGTTGTGGGAATATTGCCTATCAGAACCCAAAAATGGTAAATGTCTAAAAGTTTTTACTAAGTTTACTTTAATGCTTTATAAGAAAACCTTTTCTTCTCCTCAAGTCTCACAATATTTCTTATGTTCTTAAAGAATACTGTTGTTGCAGTTGTTAGATGGATGGTTTGATTCTATTTGTTTTAGTTGTATGTATGGAGAATGGTACAGTTTTGTGTATTACCTAACATTCTATTCAAGTTGATTTAGTATGATCCTTTAGACTGAAAATGTTTGACAGTTAGTACTGATGAATTATGACTTGTTATTTTAAATATTATGACTTTGACTAGATTTTTAAGGTAAATTTCATGCTGACATTGAGAAAAAAAGGTGGTTCAATCTTGACTTAGCCTTAGTTGGTTTGAGGAAGCAGATAGTTATATTATATCAGTTTTTGGACTTCATTTATTATGTAATGCATAGATTTAGTTCTTAAGTTGATATGGTTCATAATTAATCACATGTTAATTGTTTTAAAGTGGTATGCATGTAAGTCTCATTCTCCGAGGGACTTCTATTTTCTGCAAAACTAGCAGTGCATATCCAAAAACAATTCAGGGTTTGGAAAAGTGTATGTGCTAGTTTGGATAAACATCATAGGAAGTAGCATTTATAGGAGAAGGAAATAGAATGAACTCGGGAAAAATAAATCAAACTTCTCCCATAAAATTAAACTCCACTTCTGCACCTAAACTTATGAAAAAGTTAAATGTGGGAGCCTAAAAAATTTGAGGTATTTTTTGGTTCATTTCATTTTTTTTCCTACAAGTGCTTGTTGAGAAATTCTACAAAAAGTAAAGCTGAATTTTAAATACTGAATTTTATCTCAAAAATAACTGTAATAGTTGTATACTATTCATAATAGCGCTCACTACTTTCTTCTCATCATGACATGCATTTGGATGACAAAGTAGGTAGTCGGTTGCCTCATTGAACACGATAACAAGGTCCTCCTTTGCAAGCGGAAGATTGAACCATCTTATGGCCTATGGTAAGATTGCACTTCTATTTGTACTGCATATTTTCATTGATTCCAGATACATTCTTAGGAAACCTACTGTCAATGTTGGTATAAATGAGGAAGAATTATTGTGAACCAGAAGGAAATTGACATGACTGTGGGTGCCTGCTATCACAGGGAGAAGGGAAATTCTGTTGTAATCCACAGAAAAATATAAAATTTTGTGCTATTGTAATTTGTATCTCTTTCCTTCATTTCAGTCTTGTAATTCGTTTTAAATCCATCTCTATATCAGCACTGAAATCTCATTGATGTTGCTGGTTATTGTGAAATTAATAGTGCGCCTGACCCAGAACATGGGCCTAGACCCAAGCGGGTAATAACACGTCCAATTGCATGGGATGACTATATCCACTAGCATAATAGATTGTATGAGATTTTCTGTTGAGCTGTCACTTAGTGAGTGGGTTTGTTAGCCCTCTGTTTTTTTCTTTGTTATTGCTTTTGTAAGAGTGCACCGTGCCACGACACTATAAAAATCTATCAATGCAAGGAATAGTATAGAAGTTACTCCAATATCACATTCTTCCTTTTCTGTTTTCTGGAGGGAGATCCTGACCTCGAATTCAGGTTTAATTCCATTCCCAGTAATAATTCTCCACCATAAGAAATATTACAGTACACACTTTTTTGTGTGAACAGGTCCGGCTCGAATGACATTCTTTTCTCTGAAATCTTTATGAAAAACAAAAAACGCTAATAAATTTCTGTGATGAGGATTGCTTATCTTATCATTGGCGAACTATGTTGATTTCATATGTTGTGTCAACAAGGACACTTCCCGCTGGTTATCTGGAAATTGGAGAGTCAGCTATGGAAGGTGCTATCAGGGAAACAAGGGAGGAAGCCAATGCTGATGTGGAAGTGATTTCGCCCTTTGCTCAATTAGATATTCCTTTAATTGGCCAAGTAAGCGAGAATCAGCATTTTTTTCCTCTTTTTACTTGATCTATGTAGCTAGAAATTTTTGGTCATGATTAAGGCATGTTTGAGGCAGACTTATATAATCTTCTTAGCAAGGTTGAAGAGCCCCCACTTTTCACCTGGTCCAGAATCATCAGAATGCCAGCTTTTCTCACTCAATGAAATACCATTCAGCTCTCTATCCTTTTCATCAATGGTGGTTACTTTAAGTTTGGTATGGTTCAGATACTTCAGCATTTTTTTATGTTTTTGCTCTTATTTTTTGCATAGTAATAATGTCTCTTATGCTGTTTTCTCATGGCTATAGTATGTTGAAGATTTAAAGGCAGGAGGAAAACCTAAATTTCATTATGGTACTATTAACAAGAGGTATTTTCATGTTCTCTGTTAAATATCTATCTATTTTAACATGTGAAAGCTGAAACACCAATTATTAACATTTTAGCTACTTGATTGACAGCTTTTGCTACATGAGTGAGTGTTTTGTCATTTGTGTCACATCTTGGTTCCATCTTTGACCACCTCTGAAGGAGTTTGGCCACATTACTTTCATTAATCCTTTCCGGAACGTTGATGGAATATATTGTTTTTCCTAAAACCTATTGTCAACTATTGAAGTAGAGCCCTTCATTATACGTATTCCAAACTAAGGTTAAAAAATGCATAATAAATTTCTGCAGGATATGATGAGATCATATCCTATAGGAGCAAAATGTCTCATTCTGTTAGGACAAAGAAGAATACTTGTTAAAAACGCCATTTTAGTTGACAATCATAATTAAGCCTTTGACTAATTTTAACATTAATTCTGATGGTTCTTGTTAGGCCTGGAACTAGTGCTTCTGATATTAATGCCTATACACTGGATCATCACATGCAATCATGATTCCTTACGAACCGGTGAGTCTTTTCATGATACCTTGATTGTTATTTCTACTTATTAAGTTTCCAAATTTTCTTCACGACTGACATATTTTATTTTCAATTATCAAGCTTCTGCAGGAACTCCGCTTTATAAATTCTGCAGGAATCCAGATTTTTAAATTAGCATCACTGGCATTTTACATGAGATATCCAAACACTGGTTAAATTGTTGCAAGATTGATGATTGGAAATGTTTGTTTATATTACTTGATATAATGCTGCAATTAGTGACAACCGCTCCTCTTCTTTATGAAGAACGATCCCATTTCTGTTGTTACAAAACCAATGCATTATGCTCATAAGAGCTTTCTTTTTGTATTTGAAAAATAAAAAATAAACAAATGATCACCATATACATTTTATTCTTTAATTACATATTTATTTTCCTACTATTAAACATGAGAATAACAACTGAAATTATTAAGAAATATTGTTGCTGGCTCAAAAACCAACACAAATTTTCACGAAAACAATTAGAAGCAACATTGAATAGTTAAATTTGACATATTTTAAAAATTACATAAAAAAATCGTACAAAGTCATTTTTTCATGCACTATTGGTGGTAAATCTGAAAGATATAGGGCAAAAGCCTTATTAAGTGTAAAATGCTAAATCGTTTGACAAAAAGAATACATTCATGTCCGATAAAAAATTTAAAATCAAGTAGCAATTTTTGATGAAACAAAAACGAATAATAAAAACGCCAATTAATTGATTCTGATTGTTTCCCAGAACTGAAAACATGGTGTAAACTATGAAAGAAAGACCATGTCTTTGAATGAAGAATAATCGCGAATGCACAATATTTCATGGAAGCTTTAATTTCATTTCAAAACAATAAAACAAACACCCTCTTTTTTAAAGAAAAGAAAACACACACAAAGAAAACCATCAGAAAAAGAGGATCATTGCATCAGCGAGTCTCAGACGACCGTCGTGAGAATTTGAAATCCAAATTCATCATATGGTTTTCACGAAGAACAACAACATTCAGAATTGAACAGAAGAACGACAACAAACGCTGAAAGAACCGAACAGCAACACTAAGCCGCACATCATAGTTTGAATCCTTTGGATTTGGAATGAAAGAGAAGATTGATTAGAATGATTCATCGAAGGCATTTAAAGGGGAGGAATTAGGGTTAGGAGGGGAAGAGAATGCGTAGGGTTCTTATTGACGACCTTACCCTTAGTCTTCGTTTCAAGGCCCAACTAAAGTTTAGGCAGTCACTGGGTTCATGGGCCTTGACTTTTACCCTTTCTTTCTCCTTTTCACTACGTGTTGGTTTACCACGCAATAAAAAATTGTTTTCGTTTTTAATATACTTTTTAAACTGATTAAATTAATAAAAGTTTAACTTATTTACTATTTAAAATATTTTTTTGATATGATTAGAATATATAAATATATAATAATATTATAATTTAAATTATAAATTTAAGTTTAAATTATTAATTATAATTCAATATTTTAATGTATGAAAATAGTAATTTTTTAAAAATAATTTAATAAAAAATATTAACTAATAAATAAAGATTTAAAAATATTTATATATTAAGGATGTGTTTTAGAAAAAAATATGTAAAAAAAATTGATAATTAACGTGACTTACTGGTACATCTTTAACGAGCTGAATGTCTATTCTATTTTTTATGGGAATCAAATTAAAAGATACTAACACGTTTTGGCATAGTTAGGTCAATTACTTAATGTATTTATTTTGTGTATATTTTTGAATGAGTATATTTTTAGGTCAATTATTTAATATATTTATTTTGTGTGTATTTTTGAATGAGTATATTTTAGTGTATTTTGAAACCTGATGCATATATACTTATCACATCACATATTAACACTTAATACTTAAAGTTAAGTGTCAACTCTAAACGTGCAAAGTCATTGTTCCAACAATGAACATTAATGATGAAAGCTCATAATCACAACCATGACACATCATGGTACAGTGTGTGAACCAAGTGTACGTATCATGTTTTCCTTAGTTTCATGGACAATGAGGAGCTGAGGGAAGGAGATGAAAATATTGTGATAGGGTATAAAATTATAAATAATAAATAAATATAAAAAAAATAAAACACTTGCCATTCAATATTAGTTTAATATGTCCAAATATAATAGTGAATAGTCTTATTAAAAACCTATCAACCTTTCCAAATCTTCAATTTAAAGGATGAATTTACTCTTAAAAATAAAACAAATATATATTCTAACAAGTATATATATATATATATATATATGTATATATATATATATATATATATATATATATAATTCACTTATTTTAATAATAAAAATTGAAGATTTATTTTTTATTCATTTTTTAATTTAATGATTAAAATCAATTATTATTATATTAAAAAATTAAAAATAAATCTTTAATTATATTTATAATAAACAGATTCATGTATATATATTTGAATATTTCACCATGAGAATGAGAAGGGATCAAGATCACACAATTATCCAAAAACAACACTTTTATTTGCAACAACTTATACAAAAAATTGATTGACACAAAGGTTACACAAATTTGTGTGCAAATATATATCGATCTACATACAACACATTTATCACCTATGTACGTATTTACACAGAAAAGCTAGGGTCTGTGTGAATCCAAGAAGGATTCAAAATCTACAACTACAAGCAGGATAATATTGATTAGTTTGATCACCACAAACTCTTTCATCATCTGCCAGTGATTTCAGTGAATGGAGTGAGTGTTCCCTGGACGAGGGAGCTATCTTCAGCTTCTTTGAAGGATGGAGGCATAGCAGGCCACATAAAAGCTGGTCTTTCCTTAGGCACTTCAGGTGGAGGTGCTTCCCCATTCAGAACCTGAAGAACAGTTCTCATGGATGGCCTTTGGTGTGGATTTGGATGGCAACAAGCCAAGCCAAGAACAAGAACGCATTCCACTTCTTCAACCTTAATCCCCTCCTTTGTCAACCTTGAATCAACAGCACCAACTATTTTTCCCTTCCCATACAAATCCCACACCCAATACACAATGCTGTTCTTGTAGTCATCTTGTGCATACACATTCCCCGGCCTTTTTCCACACACTACTTCCAACACAAGAACCCCAAATGCGTACACATCTGTCTCCACTGTTGCCCTCCCCGTGAGAAAGGTTTCTGGGGCCATGTACCCAGGTGTGCCTGCAATCTCTTTTGTAGAGTGGTGTGTTTCATTTCTTTGCTGAATTGTTCTAGCCAATCCAAAGTCTCCCAACTTGGCATTGTAATCTGAGTCCAGCATTATGTTGCTGGCCTTGATGTCTCTGTGGAGAACCCTCTTCTCACACCCATTGTGAAGGTAGTCAAGTGCTTGAGCCACACCATGAATCACTCGGTGCCTTGTTTCCAAATCCAGTATTAAAGAATACCCTCCTTCAACGTCATCATTACCAAAATTTTGGTCACCACAGAGGTACTTGTCCAGGCTGCCATTAGGCATGAACTCATACACAAGGAGGAGCTCTCTATTCTCGTAGCACCAACCAGTGAGTTTCACCAAATTTCTATGGTGAAGGCTTCCAATTGTTGTCACTTCTGCCACAAACTCTTGCTTCCCTTGGCGTGAGTTCTTGGAGATTCTCTTCACAGCTACCTCCTTATTTTCCAATAGCCCCTTATAGACAGTTCCAAACCCACCTTTTCCAAGCTTGTTTTGAGGGCTGAATCCACCAGTTGCTTTTGTTATTTCCCTTAGCCTAAACTTCTTTGGAGCCATGGAGGAATATTGAATCTGATCCTCTATCCTTGGATAGGCATCTTCTGGACTCTCCCTTTGGCGACTCCTTTGCCAGCACCAGAAAAAGATCACCAACCCACCTATGACAAGAAAAACAATCACAACTGGAACAGTGACATAAACCCACAATAGACTTTTGTGATTATCTCCAATATCTTCACCACTGAATTCCCACGATCTTACACAGTTCAGCTCCGTGTAGTTACTTGTTGAGGCGGAGAAACCAAGGTAAACCTCTTGTTGAAGAATGGAAGATAGGTTAAGAGGTGGAGATACCAAAAGGGTCTCCATAGATTCTCCTGAAGTTCCATTCATGGCACCAAAAACTGATATTGTGTCATTGAAGTACTGAATGAGAAATTTGACATCTTGACCAGACGAAAGATTGACCCGAGTGTTTATTAATGGGGCCTGGTTAATGGAGTTGATGCTGTTTATGTTGATGCCAACATGGTTGTCAGGGCCATCTTCTGGGAAACTTTTTCTTGTGTCAAACTCCACTGCAAGAATACCAGCCTGTGAAGTTCCATTAGAACTAGCATTTACAATACCAAGCCATTCTCCATCACTGTTTTCTGGGAGAGTGATATCTGAAGTTAAGATAAAGGCCAAGCCTTCTCCACCAGGGGTTGTTTGTGGACTAATGTTGAGCACAAAAGTGGTGTTGAAGGAAGCCATTTGATGGTGGTTATTATTCTGTTTCCAAAGTTGGTAGGGCTTTTGGAAGAAAACACGCCCAGAATAATTATGTATGGGGCCACGAATATCAGGGGTTACTTGAATGGCATTCAAGTATATTTTTGAATTACTGCTCAGCGATAAATAAGATTCATCCTGTGGTTGGAAGGTAGGGAAACTGAAATCTAAACAGGTAACTTTGTTAAGGGTAATGGTAATGAAGATTACTGCTGCTAAATGGTATTTGACTAACCAAGGGAGGTACATATTTCTGTTTAGAAATGGCAAAGAATTGCTTTGAAGGGTTTGTAAGGTGAAGGGTCACCAACGAGAGATTAATTGAAGGCAATTCTGAGTTCTGAAATGTTCATGATGCATTATTCCCTTGTTTTTATATACCATATATTATACTTGGTAGGGTCCATTGTTTCAATTTTTTTTAATTATTTAAACTATATTTTCTCTTGTGCTCATCTTTTTCCTGGAAAATTCTGTCTCCGGTTTTGTGGAATGAAAAAAAAAAAAAAAGGTTGGTGATGTTATTATTATGTCATTAAAATAATCTTACAACACTTGTAAGCCGGCTAATAGTATATTAAAAGTATATACTAATCTATATATGTGTATATGGGTAAACAACTTCATGAATTTTGTTAAAAAAAGTAAAGATTTTTATGAATAACTTAACTATTTTCATAACTTGTCAATATACAAGTGCTTGCAAAGAATTTATCCTAATTTTCTAATGATTATTCAAAGGCATATTGTGACATGTGATAGGTGTTTTATGTACGGTTTGGTTTTAACGAATTTTCAAAGTTATATGCTTACTAATCCTTTCAGCTCAAAAAGTCAAGTCAAAATGTTGCGTACCTCAGAAACTACCTAGAGTTTGCTCTCAACAAAATATTTCATGCGATTCGATGCAATAAAATATTTTGATGACTTTTTCAATGCTTTTGCTTCAATCTTAGACGCATTATATAACTCTAAGTTGGGTTGGACAAAATAATAGTCAATGACTCGATCAACACTACGTTTCTGCATTTTGTTCCACCTTATAAACTCTGTCATGCTGTTTTTTATAATTTACTGTCATTGGAATATTTTCCTTCTTGGAATTCAGTTATCGATAGTTGACCAATTAAAAACATATATGAGGACAGAAATATTACATCATTTTTAGTATTTTTTAATATGTCGATAATCTTTATTAATATGATAAATACTAAAAATCATAATTTAACGATTATTTTGGTCGCTAAATAATATAAATTGTTCGGTGATTTGATTTTTCTTATTATAATTAAAACAAATGTATCAAAGCATATTGGAATAGGCTATTAGATAATTTATTTTAGATGCATGTTGTGCACATATTTCTCCTCCTGTTATTATATTGTCAATTTGTCAAGTCTATGTATAATTATTAATTAATTATAGTAAAATGTAAGTAGTTTTTTATTAGTTTTTTGTTGACTATATCATTTGACATTTTGTAGAATTCAATTATGTAAATATATGAATGAGTATTCATAGTTTTTTTCTCTTATATCCCATATGAAATTTTCTCTATTATTATAAACAAGTTACAAGTTGGTTCGGAAAATTACTTTTTCCAAAATGAGTAATAAAGTAAAGAGTGTTCTTAGAGTATCTTCAACGAGAGTTGTTACCAAGAATTATTTAGGAATCAAAATAAATATTTTATTATAGATTTCACATCCGAGTTGTTTAAAAATAGAGAAAATTGTTTAAAATTGGAAGAAATTTATTTGTATAAATAACTCTAACCATGTTTTAATCAACTCAATTGTGAGACCCATAATAAAATATTCAATTTTATTCTTAAGTAATTCTAGTTAAAAACTCCTTTTAAATACTCTAACAAATTTTCACCAAAACATGTGATAAACTAAAATGATTAATTTGTTCGTTATTTCTAAAATGAGATAGATATGTTGGATATAACCTATTTTATCATCTAAATAATAATATTGTTAAAAAAATATATTTAAAGCTTTCAATCTTTTAAAATAAAAATATAATTATATAATAATTTTCATAAGAATAACCTATATAAGTCTTTCAACCATTGTTTGATTCCACCTAGCAAAAAATTATTTATAATTAGTATTTATAAAACTTTCATTATTATTGCATTGTGTTTTTGTCTTGAAAAATGGAATTCAACATCGCTAATTATAAGATTAAGCAAGAGTCACATTTGTTAATATTTTCAAATCTTTAATGGATAAAATACCCATCCATTACAAAACACAGATAAAGTTGTTTTGGTTTAGTACAAATCTACTTAAAAATAATAATAATAAAAATATCAAATAATAAAAATTAAATAAAAGAAATATTTTAATAAAATGTTGTTAAGTTTGAAAGAAAGTTGAAGTTTTCGTTTTAGACCTAAAAGTATGTAGCTTTGACTTGTTCTCATCTATATCATCAGCTTGACATGCTATATTATCATAAAATGTACCAAAATCCATAACCTTATTTAATTTTGATGCAATGCACAATATATAAATATTTTAATGTTATTATTTAATTAAAATAATTAAAAACATGATTTTTAAAATGATTACTATAAGAGTAAAAATGATTACACTATTGGAGAATCCGAAAAATTCTTCATATATATTATAGTTGATAATTTGGATTTAAACGAAATTTGTCCATTAGTTTAGTAGTGATCAAGCAGAATTAATTTAATATCTCTTATTAAAAGATTGGACTGAGATTATGAGAAGTAGAAAAGTTGAGTAATTTAAGATAATTTCTACAATGATATCACCGTTTACTTTATACAATTTTTATGTTATATTAAGGTAATTTCATGCTTTTTAAGAAGCAATTTTTGTTGTCAAGTGAAGTAGACATTATGCATAAAACAATAGGGTTTGTTCTTGGAAACTTGGTTGTGAACAGTGGTCAAACTCAACCAAGGAACCAAAAGTTGGTGATTTTCTAACATTATCAACATAAATACAAATAAAACATTTGAATTGTTTTGTAATGTTATACTAGATTTTGAATCTTACCACCGGATCAGACAAAACCTTTTTTTCTGATTTTTTTTAATAAATTAAAGTGTGTTTTAAATGTGAGTTGAATTCTACTTTAAATAAAAAAAAAATTCAACAACACATAATTGAAATATAATTGTCATATAAACTAAAAAAAATACATGAAACTCTAATATTTTAGGTTATAATAATAATATCATATTTTTATATGCGGTTGAATTCTCACGATTATATAATATTAATTAAAAAATAAATAAATTTTATAATATAATATTTCTATTTAATACAAAATCATCACAAAAATAATTAACTTTATGTTCATAGACCAAATAATGTGTATATTGATATTTGTTATTTGATTATAAAAATATTTAAATTTATAAAAAATTATAACTTATTAGTATATGATAGAATTAATATATATATATATATATATATATATATATATGTTATTAAATAATATATATCACTTAATAATCTATATAATTGTAAAAATAATTATTTATTTAATAATAATGATAATTAAAAATTTAATAAAATAATTAATGATGTATAAAATAAAATAAAAACATTTTAATTATATTAAACCCAAATACTAATAAAAAAAAGTATCTAAAAATTATCATTTTAAACATGATTTATTCTTTTATATATTTTTTTTAAAAGAAAAAAAATAATTGGGTAAAATTAATTTTCCTTGTTCTAACATACATGACTCCTACGCCAGTACTCCCATTTCTACAAAATCAATTTTCAGATTCATCACAAAGATGTCTCTTTGATTAATGTCATCAAGAAAAGTGTTTCCAGCTTTATTTGGGGCGTGGAAAGTTGTTACAGAAAATTGGGTAATTACGTAGCCAAGCTAATCATGAACGAAGAACAAAGCAGTGTCTTATATAGATCAAAGAGTTTATCTTTTTATTCTAATAACTCGATAGATTAATATTCATGAGATATTCTGGATAGATATGTTGATGATCAGAATCTTTCTATTACAAATCATAAACATGGAAAATATATCCTATCAATTAATTGTCTTAAAGGGACTCATTTTGAAGGTAGGAAAGACTAGGTTCTACAAAATGGACATGTAGACTTCATGAAAGAGAAACCAAACTCAACTTAGTGGGGGAAGTAAAACATCCAAATATACTCAAATCTATGCTTTATTCATTAACTAGTTTATCCTATAACTTGAAATATTTTCCTTAGGACAAACTCTGGGTAGGTTCAGTGTCAGATCGACTTGACTTGGTGCCATAAGCTGACTGAAAGGATTAGTAGTGGAACTTAGAAAGGTCATCAGAATCGTACGCGGAATGCCAATAACCGGTTATAATATCCTTTGAATAAACATTAGAAGTCAATGATTTTACTTTTCTTTACGTGTGATCGATCATATGACCGTACAAAAAATTCAAGAAATCTACTATTTGCCAACTGTATGGGCTTTATAGGTGTTGTAATATAAAAGTTAACTGATATTTGACTATTCAAGCGAGGAGCGTATTCCACTAGAAAGGATACAAGAATTTCCCAGAAATAGATATGCTAAAGAGGCAGGGATACTCAGATATTAGAAGAACTCTTCAGGTACACTTCTCAATCGTATAATATAAGGTTTAAAAAAAAAAATGGAATGATGCATCATAAACATTTCACAGTATAAAATTGGTGATCCTTCACCTTGTCTGAAGTTATTTCAAATCCTCCAAATCAAGGCCACTCTTGGCTTTTTTACTGATAGAATATGCAGCTTCCTTGGTTCGTCAAGCATCAATTAGCAGCAACCATCTTCATTATCGTAGCCTTACCAAAAGTTACCAGCCTTTATTTCAATTTCTCTTCCTTCCAACCACAGGATGAAGCTCATTTATTGATGAACCAGAATTCAAAAATATACTTAAGTGCCATTCAAGTGACCCCTGACATTCGTGGTCCTATCTCAAACTATTCTGGCAGGGTCTTCTATAAAGAACAACTGAAGTTATGGGACAGTCAAAGAGGCATGAAAGTTTCATTCAACTCAACTTTTGTTTTCACAGTTAGTCCTCAAACCTCTCCTGGTGGTGAGGGATTGGCTTTCATATTGACAGACGATACCTCTCTTCAACTTAACAGTGGAGGCCAATGGCTTGGTATTGTCAACTCAACAAGCATAGGGGTAACCGAGATAGTTGCAGTGGAGTTTGATACAAGGAAAAGCTACCCTGAAGATGTTGATGACAACCATGTTGGGGTGGATGTAAAGAGCATCTATTCCATCCAGCAAGAACCTCTAGGACCACATGGTGTTAATATTTCTGGTGGATACGATGTTGTTGCTACAATTCAGTTTGATGCTAAAGATGGGAAAATGACCATTTTTGTTAGTACGTTGGGAGATTTGATGAGACCAGTGTTTATGGTGGATCTTGATCTCTCTAAACTGCTTCCACAAGATGTTTTTGTGGGATTTTCAGCTTCAACGGGAGAGTATACGCAGCTCAACTCAATAAGATCGTGGTATTTTTATAGCTGGGAGGAGTATATTGAGAAGAATCCCAAAAATCTAACATGGTTATGGATCTTGATTCCCATAGTTGGGGTTGGAGGAGCATGTGTGCTTGCCAGTGTCTGCTATTGGAGAAAAAAACACATAAACGGACAAGGGGTGGAGGAAGATATGAAAATAGAGCTTGAAATCAAAAGTTCTTCCAATGCTCCACATAAATTTCAGCTGAAGGAGCTTTTATCAGCCACAAGGAATTTCCACCCATCAAACAAGCTTGGGAAGGGAGGATTCGGGATGGTTTATAAGGGAACCTTAAACGACAAAGATGTTGCTGTGAAGAGGATTTCAAAGAATTCACGTCATGGTAAGCAAGATTTTATAGCAGAAATCACAACCATAGGGAATCTCAATCACAAAAATCTAGTGAAGTTAATAGGATGGTGCTATGAAAAGGGTGAGATCCTCCTCGTGTACGAACTCATGCAAAATAGGAGCTTAGACAGATTCATTTTTTCAACTTCGGGAGGGGATTCAACTCTGAGCTGGGAAAAGAGGCTTAGTGTTATATGTGGGGTTTCTCGGGCACTAGACTATCTTCACAATGGATGTGATAAAAGAGTGCTACATCGAGACATAAAACCAAGCAATGTGATGTTGGATTCAGACTTCAATGCTCGGCTTGGAGACTTTGGCTTAGCTCGCACCATTCATCTTAGTGAAAAATCTCACCACTCAACAAGAGAAATTGCTGGAACACCAGGGTACATGGCGCCAGAAAGCTTACACACCCAAAGGGCTTCAGTTGAAACTGATGTCTACGCATTTGGTGTTCTGATCTTGGAAGTTGTGTGTGGAGGAAGAAAGGCTGAACACAAACAGCACCTGCAATGTTGTAACAACATTGCAGACTGGGTTTGGGAGCTTCATGGCAAAGGAAACATAACTGATGCTGTGGATTTGAGACTGAATGATGATTTTGACAAGGCTCAAGCCAAGTGTGTGCTTGAGTTAGGGTTAGCATGTTGTCATCCTAACCCATATGAGAGGCCATCGATGAGAACTGTGCTGCTAGTGCTGATAGGGGAAGCATCTCCACCATTTGTAGCAATTGAGAAACCTGCTTTCACTTGGCCTGCCACTGCTCCTGTTCTCAATGAAGAGTTAAATTTCCAAGTAACAGTATCCCAAAATGAACCAATAACAGAACTGAAAAGTGGGAGATGATGAATCATACTCTCTGTTCAGCAATTTTCCTGACTCAATGTCTAAATAACTTGGTTTGTGTCCTCCTCTAACTAAAATCATAGATATGTGTACACATGATAAAATTACTATCGTATTTTGTAATCTTACATTTAGCAAACTTATATAATTACTCGTACCTTCTATTGATTGCAATTAGTAAAATCCATCCCTTCTTGTATGTAAGAAAAATCAAAAGGGATAGAACTCACAAATCAATGTTAGAGTCACGTAGATTTTAATCCCAATTTAGTGAATAAAAGCAGAAAAAAAAAACAATTTTTTATGGGTCATCAGCATCATGAAAGACCACAACCAAACCACGAACGACCTTCACGCCAGACGGTGAAACCCTTGGGTTTCATTTCAGCTTCGATGACTTCCATTTAATCACCACCCTGTCAGTTTCGTCGGAACTCTCTGATTCAGCCAAATTTTCGGTTCAAAATTTTATCCTTCCTTGGTTCATGTTAAGGAGAGAGCCACTTTCATTTTTAAACTCTTCTTCACGGCTGAGCCGTCTAGGATGGAAAACAAGTGTATGCAATTTTAAAAATTAGTGGTTTTAAGATAATTTAAGATTTGAAAAATAGTAAAGTTGAATTGGGCTTTCAAACTGGGTTGGATTTGGATCCATACATACTCATCTACAGCCCAGAGTAGGATCTTTATGGACTTAATTATTAAAAGATGGGTGCATGTACCCTAGCTTTTAAACTAAGCTCAATATCATAGTCTATGTTTTGTCCTTAGCTATAATATAAAGGCTAATAGTGGGAGGGGAACAAAATGATGATTTCTTAAGTGCCAAAATAAAAAAAATAAAAAAATCATTAAAGAGGTTGATATTTGGTAAGATAACTATATTTGTAAAAAACGTCATATCAAAATTAACATAATTTATATATTTATAAAAAATTATTATTTTTATTTATTGGGGGCACACTTATAAAGATGAATTTATCCATAAACATCGTTGTATATATGCGACGATGTTTCTTATTAAACAATGGTTATAGTATGAAATGTCATGCCAGAAAAAAATATTAATGTATTGAATTGATTAGTTAAAAGATTGAAAAAGATAAAAATACTTTAAAATAAAAAGAAAAATAAAAAATATTAGAAGAAATAATCTTATACATAAGAAAAAAATATTTTAAAAATATTAATATTTTATTAAACATAAATTCGAGATGGGACAGAGCGATGGTATGGTAGGGACTACCTTCACTCCTGTTATCGATTTTTTGGAAGAAAAAGAAAAGAAAAAACTCAAATACGTACATTCATTGGATCAATTCAATTTTTTTCTGTTAACCTGATCGATTCCATCTCAGTGAAGTTTAATTACTATCCTTACATATTATTATACTTTTCATTCATGATATATTTTCATGGATTCAATTATTAGTTTGGTTTTGAACATACTTATTACGGGAACAAGTTAAGCTTTCAATTACAATCATCACTTGGGAACGTTGAAAAGAAAATTATAAAATCAAGAGATGAAACCAATCACACATTGAAAAGATAAGGTCAATGTTAAAATAACACTATTCTCAAAAGAAATTGGAATATCCACACAATAATCCTTTTCCACTTTATTCATCGTACCTCACCATTGGAAATGTCATTGTGTTGTTAAAATCTATCTGTGAGTTGGAGTTTTATATTGACTAGAAATAATAAAATTAAATAAGATATAAGAGAGAAAGATCTATTAATCTATTGTGTTAAAATTTTAAGTGTAAATCTGTCGGAATCTGATAGTGGTCAACCTTGCACCAGGTGAGACTGTTCTGGTGTAAAACCTGCAACTTTTATTTCCTTCACTGTATGAGACCAATGACCATGATGTTGCTGATTATTACACATCACTCTCCCGACATTCAAAACTCTAAGTCAATATAGGTTAGAGTCACCAACGAGAGTTGGATCCAATACAAGTTCCTTACAACATAATAAACCATGATTTCAATCTCCATCGTAAGAAATGTTGGCATGTATTGTTATGGAGAGGTTGGGGACAAAACTAAAAATGATTATAGTTTTCAAGCTGTCAAATATTGCAGAAGTGTGAAATGATACATGATTTTAGCAACAAGTTGGAAATGGGGAATTCTATATCTTTCCTTTGCCATAATCAACTGGTTTTAAAAGCCAAACAACAAGTACAAGTGGTGAAGTGGAGTGGAGCATATATATGAGGTTTGAGAACATGGGTTGGTGGCACAGAGGATATTGGTGGGGGCATCATAGGCCAAGATGATTTTGATAGTGTGTTTACTACAGTAGTTTAATCAGTGGAAGGAAAAAGTAAAGCACATGTATCTTACTAAATACACAACCCAAGTTCTGTTGACACTGCAGCTGATACATAAATTTGACTTTTTTGTATAAAAAAGAAGAAAACCATAGAATCTCAAGGTAAATGATACGGTTCATAGACTCTGAAAGGAGGGCATAAGTCATAACAGTGATAATTAAAATTCCAAAGTTATAACACTCCGCAAGTTATATTGGTCCATGCGAATATAATTTCCCTGGATAGAGGTAGGGGAATCAATTCATGTGGTTATTTCAAAAAGACAGAAATTCATTCTTCACATTCTCACATCCCTGAAAATTGGAATATTTTCTAATATATATATATACCTTGAATGTCTTCTTTATATAGCTTTGATGAACGGACAATAGTGAAGAAAACCATGCAAATGTTCCTTGTAAATTTCTGCATGACACTACATGGATTCCTATTCTTGAGATGGGGATTTTAGGTCAGAGAAAGTTACAACAACTCTATTGTGAGGTCAAAACCATACTGATACAAAAAATATAAAATCAATAACTATTAATTAAACCTTTTTTTTTTTTTCGAACATGGTTTGAAACTTTGGAATTGAAACACAAATATATGTATTATTAAGATTATTAATAGGGGACACATACAAGTATATATATAGTGTCATGGCATAAATAATAACTTAGTTTTCTGTTGTATTAGCAAGTAAACATTTCTTTTAAGATTATTTACTTTTTTTTTTTTTTTACTCTGAGGAGGCATGCATAATTTTGGAGAAGAATGTCCACAAATTAAATATTTATATTTAACATATTATATGATAATTAGAATTGTCAAAATTGAAGGTCTAGTCTTGTTTAGTCTGATAGTAAAAAAATTGGATAACGTTATATTTTTTAAATTGATCATCATTTTTTTAACTTAATCATACATTAGCGGGTTAGCGAATTAATTTTGCCATGATACAAAATTAAAAAATTATTAATGTATTTATATAAAATACTTAATTAAAAAATTTAAATACAAATTAAAAATATATTCTAAAATTTTAAATTATATTAATAAAATGATTTTTTTAAATATAATAATTTAATATATAAATTATAAAAGAATATATTTATTTAGTCTCAAAAGCCAAAAAATTATTTTTTACTATTATCGTTTATATTTTAATAGTTTATTAATCTAAAATAATAATGATTAAAATAAAAGTTAAAAATTATTTTTTATTGTTATCATTTATTTTTTTTAAATGATTTATAGATCTAAAATAATAAATTATCTTAATAATTAGATCTTAAAATAAGTGGACGTTAAAAACTTTTCTTATATTTATTTTTAAAATAAGTAATTATTTATCAAATTAATTAATAATATATATATAATAAAATAATATTTATTGTTAATTTTATTTAAAATTTATTATTATTTTATAAAAAAGACTTTATAAACTAATTTAATCTAAATGAATTAGATAAAAATAGATATGATTTAATTTAAATAAAAAAAATTAATTTAAGCTACTATATTTTTCGAAAGAGTGATAAATCATGTTAAACCTATTTTAATAAAAAAACTACAAAACCAATCAAACTACATTATAAAATATAAAAATAAATAATAAGATGACTCAATCATTTATTTTATTGCGTGAAATTCTATTCAATCTAATCTAACTTCATTTCTCATTTAGCTAAAACTAATCAACTAGGTGAAACTTATTAAATAATATCAATAATAATAATAATAATATAATTATTATTTAATTTATTAAATTATTATATTAACTCAATATTATGTTTAAAATATTATATTATTAAATTATTAAATAATAAATAATAGAATTACCTTTTAAAAAATCTAAAACAGTATTTTCGAATTAATAAAATAATTATTTTTTAAAAGTATATGACTTAATTAATCAAATTTTATTCTAATTTAATTAAAGATTAAGTTGAATTAGATTGAATGGAATAAAAAAATACAAAGATTTTAAGTAATAACTTTCGTCCAAGTTAATCTAAGATTATTTTATTAAGTTGAGGGACGAGTTTAATTAAATTCGACCGAATTCAACTCATATAACACAGTAGGAAAAGATTAGTTTTGAAAGGTTCAAGATGTGGTTATTACCTATGGAAAAAAAATTGTAGATAACCAAAACACTGAATGATTGGATTGGATGTCAACTTATCATTACTCTATTACCTATTGCGAATCCACTTAAAAAATTAGCTAATGTGAATTCACTGCTAGTAATGGATATGTGAAAATAATTTTCTCAACCACTCAAGCATTTGCTACCAACAAAGAAAATGTCAACAAACAAATTCAATTCTTTCGTCTTTTCTATGTTGGTCACTGATAGAAGACTGCATATGAAATAGGATGCAAGGTTGAATATAAGAATAGTTATCAGACCATGCAAGAGACTAAGCTAAAAAGATCATAATACATGTGCTAGCAGATTTATCACCAAACATATTAGAACAAACCACTCACTGTCATTGTTTTTTATTCTGCATAAAACTTGGTACTTGCTGATATTTATTCTATAGTAAGTTGTTTAATTGCGTCATATGTAATCAGGTTGGTTTACACATTAACCACCAACAAGAATGATACTAAGACTGATGTAGCATTATTCTTATTAGTCGACATAGTTATTAGGGTCTACCAATCTTCATGTACAGCCGTCACTGATCAGCATATCCACCCTATTAAGCCATACATGATTGACAAAATGCAAAGTCAACATGGGTGATTAAGTGAATAATGGTGCTTAAACCAAGCTAAAAATCAAAACAATCGAAGCTAGATGTTGAGCATCATTCTCAGTAACAATCCAAGAAGACAATGTTATTTAATTGAGCAATATAGCATCTCCATCAAGCTCCAGCTAGCTATATATACTATGGTCCCCTCTCCTCCCTATAGTATGCGATCTAACCTTCCAATAATTTGAATGCAGCTCAGCTTTTAATGATTATCCAAAGCATCACATGCCTAGCCTTACTTCCTCTTATTATTATCACCATTCACCAAAATCATATTCTTTCTGTTGTGCATTTCAAAATAGAAAAGACCAGCAATTATAACACTTTCTGAGAAAAAAAAAATGCTATAAACTCGTAGTGTAAAATCAGAGATAGGTCCCACGATAGACCAAGCTAAGACTAAGAGGCATCAAGTCCCACCATGCACCATTTCTCAAATTTTCCTATTTTCCCATATGAAGCACTTCTGAGTGTTTGGACAACATCATCTCACTGTTCAACATACTTGGAAACAATAAAGGGATACATCAATTAATTCTGTTGGTATATAGTACGACCTTTTTGAGGGTCAGCGGGTCCAGTGGTGGCACAACATGAATCAATTATCAAATGATTTGTGGTTCCCATAATTAAAGAGCAAGAATTCAGTCCCATATACCCAATTGTTTTTATTGTGGCTTTAAGCTACACACACCAGCCTGGCTATGAGCACTGATGTACATTTTCTACTGTTTGTTTTGTATCTTCTTGTGCTGGACGGTTGCTTTTGCCTTTAATAGAATAACACAATTGCATTTCCAACATGAATATATATTAGTTTCTAACCATGTTATCTGGTGCAGAATATCTACTGAGTTTCACTACAAAAAATATTAAAATTACTGACGGTCAAAATCCGTCGGTAATAATTTTATTAATTATTAAATATTTTACTTATTTATAACATTATTTTTTTTATAGAATCCCTCCCCCTTATATTCTTATTATTTATTATTAATAATTAATAATAAATAAGAAAAATGTCATTAGCAAGATTTGAACCCAATACCTTAGAGTCAAAGGCTAATACTCCAACCACTAAGCTACTAAAATTTCTTGATAACAATTTACAAATAAATTATATTTATATACAAATATACAAATACATTTATATATATTTATATATATTTATATACATTTATATATATTTTTTTATATATTTTTATATTTTATATTTATATATTTTTATATATATTTATATATATATATTTATATATAATTAAATATTTATTTTTAAAATTACTTAATTTAATAAATTATTATAAATTAATCTAATTATGATTAAATTAAATTATTAAATAAAAAATATTTTATTTTTTAATTAGTGAATAATTAAATTATATTATATAATTTTACCGATGGATTTATCCGTCGGTAAATAATTTTTAATTTACATATGAATTTACTGACGGATATATCCGTCGATAATTACTTGTTAATTTATCGACGGATTTACCGACGGATATATCTGTCGGTAAATTCATCTATAAATTACCGATGGATTTATCGACGGATATATCCGTCGGTAACTAATTATTATTTTACCGACGGATATATCCGTCGGTAACATCAAATTTAACAAATATTTTATATCCGTCGTAATGATTATTTTCCGACGGCTACAATTCCGTCGGTAAATATCCGTCGGTAATACGCGATTTTCTTGTAGTGTTTACTGCTGACTAATCTGTATCAGGAAATCTGATTAGTCATTTTTAGTGTGATCTTCCTTCTGAATCATATTTTCTTCTTTCATAATATATTCGAACTAAATAATAGGATCGAGTTGAGTACCACTCGAATCAACAATTTGATGGTATATATATATATATATAGATAGATAGATGAATGAGGAATTGGAAAGATTGTTGGTGTAAAACACACATGAGAGCATTACACACATCCAATGGAACATTGACCTTTCTGGTGTGAACTGTGAAGTAACACACATATAATAGATTGGTGTCGCATTGGTGGGCCTCTTGAGCACATGCCATTGAATATCTTATCTCACTGGGGTGAGGGAAAGGATGCCATTGCCAATACTTGCTTTGCTGTTTGGGTCCCCCAAAACCTTTTAGGCATATTTGCACTTTCTTTGCTGACAAGTGACCTAGCTTCATGAACCAAGGAAAAGACCCCTTTAACCATTTTCACCAATAGGAATTAACAGACATGTTTCTGAGTCTGAAATGCCATAGATATATGATCCCTTATTGCCGGAGCCATTGTTTTCAACATTTGAAAGTTTGTAGTGACTTGTGAAATTGCACATAACTGTGGATAAATATGGCTAATAATCATATATAGCCGCAGTTACAATTACAATATAATTGTGCAGACTTCAAACTTATATAACCCTGATCTTGTCATATATATTATATAATTTCAAAAGTGGCTGGTTTATTTAAAGTGGTAATGTCCTGCAAAATGACAAATCACAGTTTGAATCTTTGTTGAACGATTATTCGCGATCATATTCCATCCGTTTTTATTTATTTGGATCATATAATTAAAGTGATGTATATTTTGTTATATAAAAATCCATTTATAATGTTTTTGCATTAAAGAGGTTTTATTAATAAATAATTAAAAAAGAGAAAAGTACCGACCATGAAGATGGTTTAAAAAAATTAAGATTTTAGACGAAATATTACTACTATTCGAGATATTTGATATTCGAAAATCATCCCAGAACATCTAAAATATATTTAATAAAATAAAGATATAATATCTTGATAATTATAATCTTAACATTATTATATAAGCAACATCATTATCATTTAAATTTTTATTTATTATTTTGCAGGTATTTTTATTTCGCTCTTTATTTATTAAAAAAAAACTAAATAATACTCGGACACTCTTCTTAATTCAGTAGAAACAACTAGTATTTGATAAAATTGTTGTTGGAGAGGACATATGTAGGAAAAAAACACTACAAAAAATTCAAAATAAAAATAAAATAAAATGTTATTTGTAATTATTTATTTAATATTATAATAAAATTATTAATTATTGACGGATAGTTACCGATCGGACATGTAGTTGTCGGAAAATAAGTGATTATCAACGAAAATAAATTAACAATTATTTTTCAACGAGATATATCTCTCGGTAAATTAACAATTAATTACCGATAGATATATCCGTCGATAAATATTTAAAATATATAAATATATCAAAATATATAAGTATATAAATATATTTGTATTTATATATTTTATATTTATATATTTATATGGATATATATTTACTTGAATATAAATATAATTTATTTGTAAGTTATTATAAAAAAATCGTTGGAGTATCAATATCAAATTTTAAGGTACTGGATTCGTCCTAATGCAAAATTAAAAAAATTTGAATTATTATCAGATTAAAAGAATTATTATTAGTAAAATTTGAACACAATACCTTATAACTAAAGATTAATATTTGAACCACTAGGTTACTAAGATTTTTTAACAATAACTTATAAATAAATTATATTTATATACAAATAAATGTACATATGTATAAATATATAAATACAATATTTAAGATACATATTTAAAGTACTAATTTGAATCCTACTACTAATAATTCTCTTAATTTGATAATAATGGAGCCTAGATAAATAATAATTTACCTACTTTATCTTAATTGCACAATTAAAAATATACTCTTAATATTAGGACTTAATCTAAATTAAGTTTCATTCGGTGATAAATTCTGAAATTAAATTGAACCTTCACGAGAAAGGTTAAGCATTTAAGAATTATTTTAACTTTCTGTTATTCAATATCAAAAGTTTTGATTATCATCATGTTATCCAGCTTTACGATAAATTATTTTATTTATGAAGATTAAATGTTTCTTTAAATAAACTCTTCCATTTCAGTATATTTAAGAGAATAAAATAAAGAAATGATAAATATGAAATGATTTTTATTTATAAATTAAAGTTAATTTATGCATAAATTTAAAAAACTAAAAAAATCTATCAATTTAAGATTAAATTATAAAAAAATCATATAATTTTCCTTATTTTTATAATAATTTCACATTATCTATCTTAGATAATTTAATATAAATAAGTTTCACATCATCTATTTTATGTCATCTAATATAGTTAGTTTAAATATATGTTCAATTATTCGATATATTATTAATTAATTTTATGTTGAAATCTTAAATATTATTTATCGTTGTATTGAGATAAAAATTACTCAAACAAATTAAAAAAAAAAAAAAAGACAAGCCACCAAACTAAGAAGGGATATCTAATTATTTTTGTGATTTCATTATTTTTCTTTTTTTCATGTGTCTAATCAAGGTTGTGGGCACCCCCAAGCAACTGGTTGGAGGTCATGGCTCTTGTGGAATGGTGTTGGGAGTCTCCATCCAAACCATCTCCATCCTCAAGAATCTCTCTCACATTTAATGGCTAATGAAAACCATTACCATATTTTCCATTTCAAGAAAATAAAATAAATTTCAGGAGTGATAATTTTACAAAACTAAATTTTCATTTTCAACACGCATATAAACTATAATGGTTTTAAAAATATGGTATCGTTTACTTTTCTTTGTATATGTTTATGCAAAAAAGTAGAGAAATAGAATAATAGCACTTTTCCATAGGATATGAAACTCATAGCCCAGCATAAGTCAATTATATATTAGTTATTACTTTTATATAAGTCAATTACTTTCTTCCAATGGTTATGATTCACAACTCAACAATAGAAACATACAACAAATTCATTTAAACCCTTCTACTCATTGATTTTCATAGTCTATTCGGATGAGTATTATTAACCAATGAAACTAAAGGTTATATAAAGAAATTCATAAAAAGCAAGCCCACCAAATTAGCTAATAGGGATGGACGAAAAATTCAAATTCATGTCTATTAAAATTATCAAAATCATAAAAAATCTAAATTATTTTAAATTATTTTAAATTTATTTAAATGGACCTGTATACATCCAAATTCATATTATCGATTATTTAAATTTTAAATATAATTAATTAATTAGATTTGTTAAACAAGATTAGATTTTATTTAATTTTAAAAATTTAGAACTAATGTTAGTTCGAATTAAGTAAGGTGGTTTGTATTAGGTTAGACTAGATCAAAATAGATCAAGTTATACAAGTTTAAGTTGGATTGAGTCTATATTAGATTATGAATGACCAAATTTCATTAGACCAAGTTGAACTAGGTAAGATTAGTTTAAATCAAATTGAATTAGATTAGACTAGATAAAGTTATTTTATTTTAAATTAGACAAAAAAGTCAGGTCGAGCTTTAGTTAGCTCTGACCTGAATATGTCAAGTTAATTTATATCAAAGATATGTTAAATAAGATCATTAAGATTAGACATTAGGTTGTGTTAAATAAAGTAAGACCAAATTTATTCAAGAGTCAATTCAATTAGATTTAGTTGATTTAGATTGGGTTGAGTAAGATAATATTTGATCTAAGTTATATCAAACTGTTGAATCAATATCAAACCTAAATTAGGTAAATCAGTAAAATCAAAATAAAATTAAGTTAGAACCACTCAGATAAAATAAAAATGAACTTAACTTTAAGATTTTAAGTTAAATTTTAATATGAATATAAATTAAAAAATTCAAATCAATTTCTACGATTAAATAAATTTAGATTGTTTTTCAAACCTATTTTATTAAATCTGAATATTAATTGAATTTTAAAAAAATTCAATCATATTTTTTTTATTCTTTTAAGTCAATACATATTATTGGAAGTCTCACATCATCTACCTCATGTCATTTTGTATGATTTAAATATATGTTAGACTATTCTACATATTTCTAATTGGTTTTATGTTAGAACTTTAACATGATATTAGAGTTAAAATCTAACATCTTTTCGATTATTATCATAGGTCAAAAATTGTCCTTTAGTTGAGTAAAAAATTAATCTTAACACATATATAATATCTCTTAATTAAAAAACAAATAATTTATTTGAATCTTTGAATTTAGTTCTTCAAGTAAGAATGGAATAAATACCATCCATATCATCTAACCACAAAAAAAAAAAAAATATATATATATATATATATATATATATATATATATATATATAATAAATTCTCATAAGCCGATAATGTTGAAAAGGGAAAAAAAAAAAAAAAGTCCCATCAACTCCATGGCCTCCAATATCCCCTACTTCCACTTATCCTAAGGCAAAGCATTTGAAAGAGATGGAAACTCAAAAGTTTTCCACACCCACGAAAGGAATGCATGGAAGCACATAGATGAATAAATTAGTTTAGTTCAACAAACTTTCCGAGAGAGGTCCACAACAAGATGGAATGATGAAATTTAAAGCAATTTATCTGGGTATCTACTCTATAAATTGCTCTTAATTAATGTTATAGAAAATAGAAAAAGAATGTTAAATAGAGTGAATATAACATTAATTGAACTACATAGTTCCCCCTCTTGTGCAAACATTGACCAAACAAAAGCTTTATTGAACAACCCAGATTTGCTGAAATTCTACAGCTTTTGTACGACACACAACCTGACATATATTCTACTCTCACCCACCGCTAAAGTGCTCCATGTAGGGGTCTACCTTAATTATTCACAAATTGACCAATTTCAACTCATCACGTTCTCAACTTTTCTTTAATTTCCTCCAAATTACGGCGAAAGCACACACATAACTTGTTTATTCTTCGCAAAAGCATGTAGAGTTAAACATGTTTAGTTTAATTAATCACTGCTTCCACATCATGGGCTCTACATCATGCTTTTTCGTTAATTGCATAACCCCAAACAAATTTTGTTACCTAAACAATCACATAATCAAAAGCTTTTCACTATAATTTTATTTTCATATTTAAGTAATGAAATTGTATGCTTTCAATCGCTTTATTTTCAAAATATCAAATAAATAAAAGAAAAAACCTTGTTGTTTTATTTGACAACATCAATATGTGGGCTTGGGCTTAGCATAAAATGACAAAGAATCGTAAAAGTCCCACGAGATAATTATTTAAATTATATTATTTATAGTTGACTAAAACTTTTTTTTCTTTCTCTTCTTTGAAGTTCTAAAATAACAACAACACAATAGCATAAATTTCAAAACACGTTGGTTAAGAAGAAATACATAATAAATATATAATATTACTTCCAATTCAAAATCTTTAAATTTTAAATTTTAAATTCAACAGCTTTTTCATTTTTACACACTTTTTTTCCATAGAAAAGTCTCTTATCGGAAAGAAAAAGAACCAGAGACGATATATTGATGAATTCAATATCAATCAAAAGGTGTTGTTTCTCTCACAACACAAAACACTAGTATGTCCATAAGGTGCACAGACAAAACATTGCGACATTAATTGTAAAGTTAACCTCTTTTTCTAATTTTGTTTTCAACTGCTTCGTCTAAACTTTCAAATTTCTATATACGAGAAAAAAAATATGCAAAAGTAACATTAAATCATCCGTGGAAAAGTCATTCATATATGATACATATTAATCAGTTAGTTTGAAAATCTTTGTTATTCAAAATTACTCCGTCAACCTCATATGATCCTAATTATAGATAGCTACTAATATATAATAAGAACAAATGCACGAGATCTCAAGCATGTTTCGAAAATATTTTTCATGAGAAGAGAAATTGACTTATCTATAAATTAGTATTATTTGATTTTTTTTTAAGTTAAAAACAAAAATTTGGAAAAGTTACATAAAAGAATTTCTACAATTAGCCTGTGCATAAACTAATTTTATGTTTAGTATAATTAATTATATCTTTTCTATTCAAAGTTATTCCAGAGAAATTTATCAAAGATACTCTATTTAAATCCAAAGTTTCCTTTAAATAACTTTTGAAAAGTTAATGCAAAATCCAAGTAGAAAAAGTACCATTAGTTTCTTCAATTTATGATCTTTGTTATAATAATGAAAGTGTAGGAATGGTTGAGACCAAGTGTGCATGGAGGATTTGAGATGGAAGGATTCAATTAATGAGCCAAATGTTAATGAGTTGTTTATCTTCCTCCAATCTTCCAATCTTGTTAACAACACTTCATCACGTGATGGAGTTCAAGATGTTTGGTTGGTCAAAGAAGACTCGTTGACCACGATCGAGTATCCACCGGGGAAGTATATACCCCATTGCATAATGTAATCAAGTGGCTCTATAAATATTGCATTCAACTGCAATATCAGATCGTGCCCAGTCCAATATACTTTTATAATATTTCAAGATCACAACCGAGACAATAGAGAAAACAAAACTTTATAGTCTCACAAAATATATGAAGTAAACGATAGCATGTAAAACACATGGAAATGAGGAATCAAAGCACTCCCATGCTAGTTTCTTAGGAAGAAGTTGCACCATGTAGCTATAAGACAACAAGGTCCATTAAAAGTATTTATGAATCACAAGTTATACATGAAATAATGCAGTTTGTGCACCTAGTTTTCGAATTATTTGTTATCACTGTCCTCAGCTATGGCAACAACTTCAGTGTTGGTTTGTCCCAGCAAGCTGCTTATGGATCGAGCTTTCACCATTCCAAGCTTCATCCTCCTCTTTGTGACCATCACTGGCTTCTTCTCATCGATGTTTTCAGCATCATCACCCAAAGGGTCTTCAGTGACAGTGCTAGACTTTGTTGTTAATGAAGGCTCAGATTTTGGCATTTTGCTCTTTAATGCACCGCTAGATTTGCTTGTGCCAATGGACTTGTTTCTCACACTTGTCATGCTTCTCAACCTTCCCTTCCCCAAGTGATGCTCGCAGAGAGAGTAACCCACCAAGGTTTGTTGACAACACCTCCATCCTCTCCCATTCACACGACTGCACCTTGAACCTTCCATTAATGCACCACCCCTTACCCTCTTCTTACCGACCTGCACTTGAGGTTTCGCTTCTCTTGTTACCTCTTCTTCGTTCTCATCCTCTACTTCTTCCCCTCCTGCTTGGTTACTATCACCTCGCCTCGAATACTTCCTGATCATCTTTGCCTTCGTTCTCTTCATCTTCATCCTCCTCTTGGAATTCTTCTTATCATTATCATCATCGCTGCTGGTATCCTCTGTTGCACTCTCGAAGGTCCCTCTTCGTTTCTTGGGTGGGAAAGCTTTATCTCCCTCGCTCCATCTCCCATCTATGTGTATGGAAACTCATAAGTTATCTTTTGACACACTTCAGAGTCTACCCTTGGTAAGGATGAGAGATAAAGGAATGGGAAATTATGCATAGTCACAATGTATCAATAGACACTTATAAAGATAGGAGAGAGAAAGAGAAAACAATAAATGAAGAGTGTTATGTGGGTGCATGTGCATATTCAGGCATATCATTACTCTAAAGGAATACATGTGATATGTAATGGAATGGAGAGAATAAAGAGTTTAAAGTCGGTGTAAAAACTGCATGTGTAAGAAAAAACAAAGTGTTGCATGAGTATACTCTCCAACAAAAAGTTAAGACTAGGGGGAGTGGTAAAATCATCCATTGTTCAAACTCATTGTGCATCGTTTGTTACCTTGTTTAAGAGAGCTTGAAGATGAAACTGTCTCAGAACACGATTTGCTTCCTTTCCTACAAACAAAGGAGGATCCACAGAAAGATCAAAGATGAGATGTATAAGCAAACGACACATGAAATTTACAGCCAAAAGGGAAAAGATGAAAAAAAAGAAGAAGAAGGAATGTAATGTTGTTAAAATAGTGAGAGCTATGTGATGTAGCTGGGGACCAGCATTTGGTTCGATTGTGCAACTCAAGGGCAAACGGCAGTCTAACCAATTTGGAGAAAGAAACATTGCATTTCACATGAGGGGTATGGTGGCTACACAAGGCTCTTATTTAAAACACTTTCAACAGTATTTCCACTATCAGTATTTTCTTTTTCTTCGGTGCATAAAATAATTTATAAATAATAAATAACTATTTAAAAATGTTTTTCCATGCTGGTTAAAATTGAGTCATGGGTCTCCATATTTTCACCTTTTTTACTACGAGATTTCATGAAGGAGTAAGGGAGGAAATAATTTCATGTCTTTATCTATTTTAATTCATGTCTAGCTAGCTAGCTTGGTTTCATAATTCTTACCTGGTATCATTACCCTTCTGTCCCCCTCCTTGTTCTTCCCTTCTCTCATCTTCCACCTGCAAATCACACACACACACAAACCCAAAAAATAAACACACATGGGATCCACTAACAAACGGGTGCTATTGGTTAATGGTTACCCCTAATGTGCCCGTTTGTAAGTGCAAAATACAAATTAAAAACAACACAATAATGATAATTTTAATTCAATTACACCAACCCCCTTGCCAAAGGTTGGACAAAAGTGCACTAATTCACAAACTCACCCCCAAAAAGATGACCGAAAATCAAAAGGATTCATGTAAAATCATATTTCCACTAACCGAAGAGTCTTCTTGCTTCTTCTGCAGCAGGTTCAAGTTCTGGGTCCCTTTTTCTCCGGATGACTCATCAGAGCCGTTGGTGGGTTTTCCGATCGGTGAGAGAGGCTGATCAGACGGCTGAAGAGGATCCAAGTGGAGTGAGGGTGCAGCAGCCGGACCAAAAGTGCAAGAAGGGTGGAGTGAGGTGGTGGTGGCATGGCTGAGTTGCACCATCACCGGTGACTGGTTGATCAAGTTGGGATCTGAGTGATTCACGGGCAAGAGAGGGAAAGGCACTTGCCTCTTGCGGATCCTCATAGGTGCAAGCAAGATGGGTTGGAGTTGTTCTATCTCACAAGATTCACCTCTTCAAACACACACTCGCAAAATCTCACACACCCCAACAGAGATCTTATTCAAGATTTCGGAGGAAATAAGGATTGGACACAAACAAAGGAGAGAGAGGGAGAGAGAAGACAAAAAAACTCATAAAGACTGAAACACTGAACACACCTATCTCCTGTACTAGTTCATGGTATTAAAGAGCAAGAAGAAAAAACCATGCTTTTATGTGAGTTTGTCTATGAAACTCTCACCTCAACAACACACCCACCCCACACACACTTTCTCTCTCCATATATGCTTTGTTGCTCTCTGGGTTCCTCCCTTGCTTTTATTTGTTGCACCAAGGAAAGGAGGGTGTTGTATGGGTGAAGGGTGGCACGTGTGGAAGGGTGGGACACGTGTGGAGAATCACCTGCTGGGACGGTGGCCGGTGGAAGAGGAAAGAGACATAGTACGGACAAGATGCCAGGGTGGATGAGGGAGAATTGACAAATAGAAAATTAGAGAACCTAAAATTAAATTGATAAGAAAATAAAAGAATATGAGAGAGAAAGAGAAAGAGAAAGGACTGTGAATGAAGGAGTGGGTTGCATTGTTGATACTTTTAAGAAGGAGACTGTGGGCCCCACAACGGTGACTCCCCTAACAAGGACCCATATGTTCTCTTGCAGTCACACTCTTTTCCATTCCCTTATGTAATATGAATTCATAATTTTAAATTATTACTACACACTTATCATAAATCTATTATGTGGGGCTATCAACATTTTCCTTTGCTTTCACATTTTTTTTTTATTTTCCATTATTACTACACATATCAATATTTTTATTTTACAAAACCTCCTCCATAAAATATACATTTTCTGCTTTAATTTAAGATTATTATTTAAATATGATACTTATTTAATATAATATCAAATTTAAAGATTATAATCATTATTTTAAACGACCAAAATTTGAATCTGTCTAGAGAGAGATAAATAAAAATTAATTAAAAAGCATTCATCCAAATTTAACTTAATCATGTAATATTTATAAAAATATAAGAACAAATAATGAAGATAATATTTTAATATAAAAGCATCAACTTATAAATCATATTTCAGGAAACATCAATTCAAATATATTAATGTAATATAGACAAGATAATGAATACATAACATTTTTGTTCTATTGAATAAATATTTAATATTATCAATATATTACTTATTAAAAATAATAAATATGGAAGAGATAAATCATTTAATATAATTATGACAAGCAAGTTTAAGTATATTTGAAAATATTGATTATTCAATTCAACATTTCTTATTGAAAATATAAATGTTTTAAACAATAACAATTCAAACATGCATTAATACAGTGTAGAAAAAAAAATATATATATATATATATATATATATATATTCATAATTATTAATTTAAATATATTATAATGATATATATGTGTAAAACAGTATAAGAAGAACATGAATTTTGTTAGAAATAATTTAATAATCTCTCATCTACATGTAAGATTAGGCATGTCAATAGACGGTGCGCTGACGGATTTTGTCTCCCGATTTCTCTCTTCAATTTTTTTAACTGTTTCGTCACTTTTTTTATCCTCATTGACGTTAAAAAATAAGTCTTTATTTTTGTTTTCATTAAATTTTGAATTTTTTGGTCCTGGATCTATATTATTTTAAAAAAATAATTATATTTCTAATAAATTAATTTTATTATTTTTATGTATTTTTTATACATAAATAAATATTTATAATTTTATAATTTATAATAATTATTAATTAAATATATTTTTTAATTTATTATATTTATATTAAAATATGTATGTAAAAGAAATATTTAATTATTTTTTATTTATACATATACAGAATATTTATAATAATAATAATATTATTATTATTATTATAATATTATATTCAAATATTTAATTAAATATATAAATGAATTCATTTTTAAATTGTCATTTAAAAATAAAAATTATATAATTTATAAGGAAATATTTAATAAGTTAATTTTTATTTAATTAATTTCAAATAATAAAATTTTAAATTATCAACCCTTTTTAATCTTTTAAATTATAATTATTTTATTAAGATAAAATTTGATATATAACAAATATAAATAGTAAGATCCAAAAAATATGACATAATAAAACTTAATAAATATAAATTATAAATAAAATAATATTAGATACTACTAAGATTTACGTAAAATATTTAAAAAAAGAAAAAAATTAATTTTGTATTCATCAAATTGGTTGAAAAGATTGAAAAAAATAAATAAATTGATTAGAGAAACTAAGGAAATGTGAAAAATTGAAAAATAAGAGAAAGAGAATGATATAATAAATTATAAAAAATTAAAAAGATAAAAAAATTAAAAAGTAGGTAGAAGAAAAATAAAAAAAATATCTTATATAATAGAAAAAGAAAATAAAATACTTTTAAAATATTAATATTTTAAAATTTAAATTTAAATATAAAATTGAGGTAGAGACACAAAAAAATTAGATATATTACTTTTCTATAACTTATTGAAAATGTTTTTTTAACTTATTATGAGACAAAAATATTAAAGATAAGATATGCTCTTACATATTGTGCAAATATATTATTTTATAGTATTTTCAGTTAAGACAGTAGATACATATAAAAGATGTAATGAATCTCAATTTTAAATTTAAATGTGTGCACATCAATTGCAATTCACAACTTGTGTTAATGATATAATGACAGCACACTAATACATCATTTAATACTGTGAAAGGTACTGAAATTTATTAATAAAATCATAATATTTTATTCTTATAAGTCTTTTTTTTTTAATTGATGAAATATTTTAAAGTATTTTAAAAAATTTATGAGGTATTTTTTTATTAAATATTATAATATGTGTTTTTTAATAATGAATAAATTATTTTAAAATCATTAATAATAAAAATAAAATTTAGTACTTAAATAATATATTTTGACAAAAATTAACTCAATTATATTTAATCTATATTAAACATATATATATATATATATATATATATATATATAATTTATTAAAATAAGTACTTTAAATATAATTTAATAATTTTAGAAAAATAAATTATTAAAAAATTTAAAGTATTTATATAAATATAATTTGTATAACTTCAACAATATTTTGAAGTATAAATATCAAACACAAATTAAAATATTTTAACCAAAACTTTACTTAATAAGTATAACAATATGATATAATTTATATATTAATAAAAAATTAAAAATAATAAATTAAAATAAATTTATTCTTTATATAAATTTAAAGACTTATTTCTTATTTTTATTATTTATTTTTAATTTAATAAGCTAAATTAAAAACTATTTATTTTTTATTTTATTTTTTTATAAATAGACATCTCTTCTTATGTATATGTAAAAAAATGTAAAAAATATATTTTAAAAAATTTTAAAAATTTAAATATTATTGAGTTAAAATGATTGAAAAATATTATCTTTTCATAATTTATAATATGTAAATATTTATTTAAAATATATATTTTTCTCTAATAAAATTTTAAAATAATTTATATTAATTTAATAATAATATATAAGATTATCTCATATATATATATATATATATATATTAATTTAAAATAATAGGTGTATTAATATTATCCGAAACCATTTTCATTTTCAAGAAAGTATTTTTAATAGTTTTTAAAATATTTAATTTTTTAAATAAAAAGCATTCATAAAAATTTTAAAATTATAAAATTTATGTTCACTTTTTTATTGTCAACTGTTATTTTGAAGTAAAATATTCATCATTCTAGAAGTTTACAAATTCAAAAATAATATTAAATAATCACCGATAAAACTGAATTTAATTATTTTCAACTATTTAGGTTTCAATAAATGATAGATTCTGACTTTTATAATTGTAAATTTCAAGAATTAATAACAAGATTTCTACCTAATGCATGTTATATTCGTGTAAGAAGGAAAATGACATTTAGGATGACACGCGTGTGAGTGTGATGACCTTTATTTCCTAGTCAACATTCATATTTCAGCTTATAATCTAGGTTTCTGAGAAAATATTAGGTTCCTTACGTCATTATTAATTAATTTCTTTTGATTATATTTCTTGATTTGTTCACTTATTGTTCATTTTAAGTTTTTCAAATAATTTAGTTTATAATTTATTTACATAAACTTTTCTAAAATCATTCCCATAAAATAAAAATATGATAATTTTTTTTATAAGTTGAAAAAAAAATTATTTTATAAAAAAATATTTTTCTTTTAATTAATGCAACACTTGTAGTCTTACTTTGCATGTTGCTACATGTCTCTTCCCCACGACAAACATTTGTAATTGCCCCTCTTCCTTTCTCTTACCTTCGTCTGTACCTCCTATAACTTTCTATCATTTCTCTTCTGATTTTTTTCAATTTTAATATTTTAACAAGTTTGATTTTATTGCCTTGCAATATTTTTGTATGAATTGTATTGAATATGAATTCAATATATTTTTTATTTTACATGTGCAATTTTTAATTTGTATTATCTTAAAATTTAAAATGAATGATATTAATCCCTATTGTCTTATGATTATCTCATTTACCACATTGGTTAACTAATTATATGCAAGAGACATTTTTCAAAGAAGAAAATAAATTTCTCAAAGTTTCACCATGAACTCATCTTTAAAGTGAACATAAGCTAAAAATAATGACATGCATTGGAAGGACCATTCACAAGAGAAACTGTTAGGATATAGGACCACCCTCCTTTCCCTAGTCTTAATCAATTACATCCTGTCCAGAGTTTTAATGAACTGCGTAAATATAAACAAGTTTTTTAATTTGAAAAAAAATGAATTAGATTTGATTGTGTATGATGTAAAGTTTTATTTAGATCACCTACTTCTGAACTATCTAATAATTTCCATTTGCAGAAACCTATAAATAAATATAGAATTTGAATGACAATGTAT